TTAGCTCCGGAGTCGATTATTGCTATTGTTTCGTGTCCTTATATAATGCATTTGGTGCGTAGGACTGCTGCTAAAGTCTGTTGAACATTCGTGTTGTTGAGTTCCCGTAATCTGTTCTTACCAACGGGCTCTCCTAGTTTTTTGTCTCTAGAGCTACTAGAAGCTCGGGGTCCTTAAGGCAGACTTCCTAACTAAGGGGTCTATCCTTAGGCTATAGTGTGATTCTTCCTCGTTCGATACTTGTCGATACTGGTCCTTTAGTCGATAATAATAGTTTACCGAAAATCTGTCCCTTCTATACTAGTAGTAGTAGGAGTCTGTAGGCTGTAGCGTGTAACTATTTGTGTGACGCAGTCTTGCACTACTAGATCATCTCTTATTCCGTAATGAGGTCGTTCTGCTAGTTTTCCTATATCGTGTAGATCTCGTCGAATCGCTATATAAGCACCTTAACGTAGTCTCGTATATTCTTACTAATGTAGATCCCGTCTGGGGCGTAATATCCTCTAGATCCGTCGAACTTGCTTCCTATCGGGGGTGTGTCTCGTACGTAGTAATGTCCTCCGCCGAGGTTAACTTGTCGATAGTCCTAAAACTCCCTCCGTAGGCTATTAAGTAGTAAGTCGAAGTTGTTTCGATGTAGTCGTCGTTTCCCTTGCACCTTCGGGAAGACTTCCTCGTGTTGTCTAACTATTGTAAGAATTATTCGTCTAATTGGTTCTAGTGCGTTAACACTAAAGTTGAGTGTTTCGTTATCGCTATTATTGTCGTCGTCGGTATATTCGTATTCTAATGACTCGGGCGTGTCCTCGTAACCGTCCTTAGAGTCTGGTATAACAGGGGTTAGCGCGAAGCTTCCCTAATCGTATATTACGACTAGTTGTCTTAATTCTTCTTCGTCGTCGGATTCCTCCTCCTGAGGTTGTTGTGTTTCTTGTAGGGTTATATCCTCCTACCTAAGTAGAGGTGGAGACCTTCCTCGGGCGTAAATGCCGTCGTCTCTATCCTGCTGTAGTTGCCGTTGTCGAACTAGCACTAGTTCGAATATGGGGGGCTAATACACAGCACTGTTGGATCCCTATAATTCTGTCGAATTAAACTCTCGACGAGGCTTACTCGGGAACTATCCTAAGTCTGCCTTGCTCGAGTAGTAAGTCGTATAGGAGTCGTTATAGCACCCTATCTAGTATAGTTGTTTGTGTTCGTTATCTAGGTCCTTTCCGACGCTTTCTCCGATCTTTATTATCGTGTCGCGGATGACGTAGATGTCATCCGTGGAGACCGTTCCGAGTAGTTCGAGGAACTTGTTCTCCTATTTAATGATTTCGTCCTTACGATTAGGGTGTCGTTTCTTTATTAAGCCTATCGTATTAGCGATCTCGGATTGCGTTTGTCGTACAGCGTTACTATTAGCTAATTCCTTACTAACGTGCATTCCTGACTAAATGACGTTAATAGCTTCCTAAATATGTTCGGTAAATGGATCACGTCGTTCTATAACGTTGATCTCTATAGCGTTAACCTCCCTAAGATCCGCCTTGTAGTTCTGCTGTAGTTGCACCTTGCGGCCACGGCAGTCTCGTGCGTAGTGTCCTTCCTTTCCGCACGAATAGCACTTTAGTCCCTGCTTCTTACCCTAGGCGTAGTTCCTGCCCTTGGCTCCTGCTCTATTGGGTTTGCCTCCTCTAAACTTGCGTTAAGTGGCGTCGAGTTCTATAGCGTTAGGGTCGCGACGTTGCTGTCCTCCGGTCCGGCCGTAGGAAGCATAGCCAATTCGTCCGCGGTCCTGATTGGTATTGCGTTTTTCTATATATCGTTTATAGAGCATATTATCTACCTTGATTGCAGCCTCCTGCAAGTATTCTAAGGTGTCTTAGCGTCCTCTATATCTTATAAGCTCGTCCTTAACGTTGTCCTTAAGTCCTCGATAGTACATGGATCTTAACGCATTGCTATCCCATCTAGTACGAGTAGAGACCTCCTTGAACTTGGCGGTGTACTGGGATGCGGAGGCCTTCTGCGTAACGTGTTAGATGTTCCGGATAGCGACTTGCTAATCGTTGCTAAGTCCATAGATTCCCTTAACTTGTTTGGCGAACTCGGAGAAGTCGGTAAAGATCCCGTCTGGGTCTCTGTTCTCGAGTAGGACTATAGTTAACTTAGGACGTATCTAGCTTTAAGCTTCGCCTCGAAGGTAGGATGCTGCGATGCGGCAGCGTCGTTGTTTACTTGTAATACCTTTAAGGGAGAAGTATAGTATAATCTAGTTTAACTAGTTATCGAGCTTGTTGCGATCCCTATAGAAGAAGTCCGGCTTAGCGGAATACTTTGTCCTATCTTTATTAGTAGAGGCACTAGCTCGAGTAGTCGAAGCTATGCTAACGTCTCTTTCGTTGTTAGGAGCCATTTGTTTGCTTAGGGTACTTACCTGCTGTGAGGGTGTTCAAAATGTTATGCACCTGCGGTATAAGGGGGTTAGAGCTCGTTAGACGAGTAAGTTCTAAGCGATGGGTCGGGTAAGTGACTGCTCTAAGGTTTGACCTTTCGGCGGGTTGGTAACTTAGGTTGAACACGAACTACCTACATAAGAAACGCTTATTCTATATATATAGGAGATTCGTGTCTCTACTGATCCGACTGATCGCAGCGCGGTCAGTTTAGTTAGTGGTGTCTGATCCGACTGATCGAAGGAGTGTCAGTCGTATTAGTTGCAGGAGCGGAAGCCTCCGCTCCTGGCTTCCTGTCTACTCGCTTATCCCACCAATCGTGTTACAGTGTCCGTAACAATAACACGCCTACGCTTTATATATCGCGTTCTATATATCCTTAGCCTATAGGCGACCTCGCTCGCGAATAGTACAAACCGCGAGGCGTCGAATTTACCGTAAGGGAAATTGGCGCGAGTACGTGTTCTTCACTCGCGTAGCTAGCTACGTTTACTCGCGCGCTTTATTTAGGACTCTACCGGGACGACTTCACCTATATTTAGTACTACGCTTCCTAGACCCCGCCTATATCGCTCCCTAAAGTAAGTAAGTTATATACCGTATATAAATGTTTATAGTCTTAGGACCTACCTCCGTCGGCGAAGCACTAGCGCGAAACCTTAATTAGGAAAGATAAATACTTCGCGATCCCCTCTCGAACTTTCTCTAACTTATAATCTACGTACTCCTCCTTCCGGCTATCTATAAAACCTATAAGGTAAATTCGTCCTTAGATTCTACTACTCTATATTAGTAGGAAAAATATTAATCTCTTTAGATACAAATCCGGTAGAGCATCGTCCTCCGAGCAATCTTTACTATTTAGTAAATTCCGCAATCTATATCCGTAGTAGATCGTTAGCTAGCCTACTAGGATTATAGTCTACTCCGTCGTCTATCTACCCTCTTCTACTTAGGAGAGCATATATCTGTCTGCCCTCTTCCGCTTAGGAGAGCACATATACGCGCCTACGACGGCTAGTGTCTCCGTCTTATCTTACTCTCCTCTCGCTTAACCTTAAGTAGAGCATTATAATATTGTCTGCCCTCCCGTCTACCCTCTCTCCCTTTCCGCTATAGGTAGTAGTAAGCGTAAGGCTACCGAGGCTCTCGCCCTCGAGGTCGAGAAGCCCGCTATAGTTAAGAAGTCTAAGTATACTAAGGAAGAGAAGGCGACTATTAAGACTAGCGCTTTACTACGAGCCCCTACTATAGCTAATATATCTACTACTCCGTCTAACGATCTACTACTTACGTCGGTAGAGACGTAGGCCGCTATCGATACCCTCCCTCTTAATAGCTAGGCATCCTACTACATCTACGTCGTAAAGCCTAAGAATAGAGTCTCTACTATAGTAGGTAAGGTCGTAGGCTACCTCGGCACTAGGGGCTACGTCCCGAACTTCTACGACATTATCGTCTATATCGAATAGCTACTCGAGAGCCTTCGCGAGTACGTAGTCGTAAGTTAATATTGCCCCTAAGTTTACCTTATAGTAAACTTAGCCCCTAAGTTTACCTTATAGTAAACTTAGCCCCTTAGCTCGTAATATTCGGCGAGTTTACCTTATAGTAAACTCCGCCTCCCTTTTAACTATAATACTAACTTCTTCGTAGGCCGGCTATAGCTACGTTAGTATAGGGAGACTAAAGATTATCTTACTTACCGACATTATAGAGCTAGGTAGCGAGGCCGAGAAACGTAGTCTAGTATACGAAGTCGATAAGGAGTTCGCCTATAGCGAGGAGGCTAAATAGTATATTAGCGACTCCGAGTTTGACGACTACGACAAGTATCCCGTCGGTTAGAAGGAGGGCAACATACGTAGCGTCGTTATCTTTCTACGTCACGCCTAGATTATCTACTATCGGATTAAGCGCTTTATAAGGACTAATCCGGAGCTTTTCTTATATCCCGAGCTCGTTCTTCTAGGTGCTTATAGCAGTATACGCTCTAACATTATCGCCGGCCTCGAGGCGGAAGATATTAGTCGTCTTAACGGCCTCCTCTTCTTTATTAAGGATAAGATTAAGTAGGACGGTAAGGCTAGGGTAGGTAAGATTCTCTACTAGACGAAGATTAGGGGTAAGCGTCCTAGTATGTCGCTTAACAAGGCCGCTATCCCTACGCTTTATAAGCTCGAGGGCGGTGCTCCGCCCCCTAACAAGGCTAAGAAAGACTAGCAGGATATAGCTCGGCGTATCTAGAAGTTTATCGCGGAGCGGGACGCTAATCCTTATATTATAGGTACGATCGGTAGTGCTATAACCGAGGAGGACTATACTAAAGTATAGGACATCTTAAAGAAGCTCGGTATAGTACAAAATGCTAATACTAGCAAGAAGAGGAAGGGTCGGATTATCCGTTAGCTCGCGAAGATCGACGGCGCTCTCTTCGAGAAGTCTATAGTTACTCTTATATTAGGTCTAGTCGTTCTATATAATCGTACCGAGGAGTAGGCACGAGAGATGCATCTTAGTCGTAAAGAGCTACGCGAGTTCACCTAGATAGGTATGCTAGCTAGCGACCTTAGCAATAAATTAGATAACAACGGCGTCTATAAGGAGTTCGATCTACGGCTCGCTCTTAAGAAGGAAGAGAAGGCGAGAGGTAGGTTAAAGGCCGTCTACGAGGCATAGAACGTAGGCGATATTAACGAGGATAATATAGAGGTCGAGGATTTGGAGGCTAAGATTAAGGCACGTACTATTAAGACGGCCTTCTAGAAATTCCTTAGCTCTATTAATTCCGTCTCTGCCGCCCTGCCCGACTACGATATAACGATCTATAAGTATAAGTACTAGGTCGAGCACGAGGCTAACGGTACTCCCGTAGTCCCCTATCGCGGTATCCGGCTTCTTCTATATTAAGTAGTCGGTATCGACTACCTCGTCGGTATGCTGCTTAGCAACCTCCGTTCGGCTGTCCTTACCGACGATACTAGCCTTAGCAAGACTATCTAGAGTCTCGTTACCTATAGCCTAATTAATAACTAGATTAAGGCCGGCCTACTTTACTATAATCGTAAGTCTTATACCCTTAAGTTTACCTTATAGTAAATCTCGCTATATTTACTATAAGGTAAATCTTACGCTCTTTCTAAAGGTGTTTTGCTAACTGCCTATAGTACTTAGCAATCCGAAGGACTTCCGCGACTTCCCTCCCGAGCGTCGGCCCGATAAGGCTAATCCTAAGAAATACAAAGTCCCTATAGCTCTAGTCTACGAGAGCGAAGACGAATCCAACTTCGACGAGGACGACGATACCGAAGAGGAGGAGTTTTTCGACGATAAGGCCGTTTGCGATAAGCCCGGTAAGGACGATAACGGCGACTTCGTTCGCGACGCCTACTATTCTCCGACGAGCTAGGCCGCTATAGATATAGTTAAGGCACGAAATACGTCGCTAAGAGTAGGTAAGTAGTTATTAAGTTTACTCTATAGTAAATTATAGGAGTTTACTAGACTAACCGTAATTATAGAGTACGAGAAGCACGGAATTAAACCCTTTCTGCCCGCTATAGCCTATACGCTACCGGGCTCGACCGATATGTAGCTAGACGAGATTAAGAACAACTTCCCTTATCTCCGCGTTAAGTCTTTCCTTACCGCTAGTAGCTCCAACTAGAGGGCAAATACTAGCACCGACTTCCTTAGTAGCGCTCGCGACCTAGCTACGTACCTCGATACCCTTCCTATAGATAACGAGGAGACTAGCAACGTCGTTGTCGTAACCTTCTACAATACCGCCGCTTACCGCTTCCTCCGCTACTAGTAGATTACGCTAGATAGTACTAAGTATCCGATTAGTAGACTTACTCGGTAGGAGTGTAAGAAGGCCGATCCCCCTATTCTTCTCGATCGCTATACGGCTATACTAGATAAAGGCGTTATATACCGGGACAAGAGCAACGGTTTGCCTTACTTCGAGCTTCGTGTCCCTACTAGTCTATTCGGTATAGGTATCTAGGACGAGGTATATCGCTTAAAGAATATATAGACGTAGTAGATATAGGTCCTCCTCGGTCTTAAGCACCGCCGCGTCCTCTTACTTACCGCCTCTCTATGTATACGCCGTCTAAAGGACCTTAGTTCTATCCTCGAGATCGTCGCCTAGACTACTACCGCTAAGATCGCAGCGGTTGGGGAGGCTAGCGATCGCACTATTTAGGACTATATAGAGCTCTATTAGCTCTTGCTCGACAACGGCGGCTCCTACCTCGAGGTTTTAGATACGCTAAAGCCTAGGATCGCCTCCCTCCTCTAGCTTAAACCCTACATCTAGCTTATATCTACCTAAGACAGTATACCCTCCGTAGTACGGAGAGTAGTGCCCGCCGTGCTATCGGTCCTCGCTATCCGTCGGGTAACTAGATAGAGGATTACGGCAGAACGCCGCGATTACATTATCGCCGGCAACATTCCGCCCTTCTACTATACCGTCGTCGAGCTTGAGCCTAGCGAGTTTAAGTACCGTATATATTAGCCGGTTTACGAGGAGAAGCTAGGCGAGCCCGAGCAGTTCTAAGTCGACGCTACCGTCTATACTTAGCCCCTTAACCCTATCTAGGGCATCGCTTAGCCGCAACCTATCTAGACCGAGACCGAGATACGAGACAATATAGATAAGCGTCGTCGCCTCTAGACCTGTACGAACAACATTAGTCTAGACCGCCTTAACTAGTACTATATCCCCTCTAAGGCTAAGGACGTCTAGAAATAGTAAGTCCCTAATACCCTTGTCTTTCCTTACCCGTAATTTACTACTTAGTAAATTGCGCCTCTCTTCCCTTTCCTCTCTTACTATATTACCCGATTTACTATATAGTAAATCTAGTGCTCTCGTTTAACTCCCTATATAACAACCTAGCTAACTTCTTCTAGGTGGGATAAGCATAGCGGCGAGATAGCGTCCTTTAGCTTCTTCTATAGCGCTACCGACGTAGGTTATAGCCCTATACCTAACGACCGCATCTCCTAGTCCGGCTATATCTACCGCACCTCCTCTAAGTATAAGTACGTTCTTACGGAGGCCGTTCGCCTTAGGAAGGAGGGTAAGAAGCTTCTCGTCTACGCCGATTAGCCTAGCAATATCTAGCTAATAAAGACTTACCTCGAGATCGCCGGCTTTAAAGTCGCTCGTATTAGCGCCGGTTAGAGTGCTAAGGATCGTAGTAAGATTAACCGAACGTTTAATACTCTAAACAATAAGGACATCGAGGTCCTTATCGCCTCCTCTCGCTCTGCGGCTAAGTCGTTCAACTACTAGAAGGGCTACTACAACATTATTATTATAGACGTTATTAACTTTATAACCGTCCTCTAGATTATCGGTCGCTACTTCCGTATCGGTTAGGAGCACGAGCAGTTTATTAAGATCCTAATACTTAACCGCACCTACGACTAGGTTCTTCTCGCTAATACGGCTACCGGTATAATCGCCTAGCTCGCCGCTACTACTAGCAACGCTGCCGATCTAATTACGTCGGAGTAGTACGTAGCTAAGCTCGATAAGGACACTAGCTTTAAGGAGCGTATCGAGGCGAGGGCGAAGCTTACCTAGCGGTTACTAATCGAGGAGACACGCGAGGACCTATATAGCCGTCTTATCTACGACAAGTTCCGTACTAATTTCGGTATACGTAGCGACCGCGACAACGTCTTCTAGTCGAGTTCGTCTCCCGACGCTAAGCTCGCCCTCTAGGAGGAGCGAGACTTCTTCTCTAGCTTTCCTAGTAGGATCCGTAAGCACGTCTAGGCCTACATCGCTAGCACGCCCCTCGAGAGTCTCCCTTAGACCCCTTAGAAGACCTTAGGCAAGGGTGCCGAGGACTATTTTAAGGCCCTAGAGAAGACCGCCTAGCGTAACGCTAAGGCCGAGTAGAAGGCGCGCGAGAAGGCGAAGAGAGATCTAGCCTTAGCGAAGCAGTTAGAGTAGTAGAAGGAGGTTGCGCGTCGCAAGGACATCAAGAGGGTTAGGGTAGGGTTAGGGTTAGGGT